CCCTAAACCCTAAACCCTAAATCCCTAAACCCTAAACCCTAAACCCTAAACCCCTAAACCCTAACCCCTAAACCCTAAACCCTAAACCCTAAACCCTAAACTGGTTTTTTCCAAGTTTTAGCACTATACACTGGTTTATTATGAGGGATATACATTGGCTTCAGTTTAACATGGAAATGTGTTCTCTGCCTTGGTGCAAATTCAGAAAACAATGTTACGCTGTTGTGCCTACTAGATGGTTTTTGACAGATTGGTATGGGGATTGGAGGAGTAGAGTTCATGGTTTTGGCCTCTGCAAAGAAAACAATTGGGATATTAATATGGAACCTAGTTTACTATGTGATCAACTGATGCAGCCAACCAGCTATTCCTATGCTGCATCTCCAAGACAAATTCATGTTGCTATTCAAGGAAAATTTATAATTTGGAAAAATGGTTCCAGCAATAGTATTTGTTAATTGTGTCAAAAAGGTGTGTCTACAACATTACATCTTGCGAAAGATGAGGTTTAGTTGCCCAATTATTGGAAACCAAATATATTTGATAGATGGTTTTATGAGAAGCTGTTAATTTCTACTTGGAACGTGGTGTAAATCCTTCTGGTACTGTTCTTCAGACTTGGTCAAAGGAGCAGATGGATTACTTCAAGAAGCATGCTATGTATGAAGATGTCTCAGGTAATATTGATGCTCCTGATTTTATGCACGTTGAGGTTGAGGATGTTAGAAGGGGGGGGATAGGTTGGTCAAGCCAAAAACCTTCTCTGATGATTAAGCTTGTTGTGTGGAACATTAGAGGCCTTAATGTGGTCTCTAAAAGAAATGAGGTGAAAAAACTTATTACTGATAATAATTTGGATGTTTGCGCTATTGTTGAAACAAAAGTTTGTTCTGGTTAATTGAAGGAGGTTTGTGACAGCATCTTTAGGAATTGGTGTTGGGTTTCCAACAATTTTGTGTGTGTTGGTAGAACTATAATTATCATTGGTTGGGATCAAAACAGGGTGAAAATGGAGTTCTTTGACTTCTGTAATCAGGTGGTTCATGGCCGTATTTTCCATCTTGAATCTAAAGTGAGCTTCCATTGTTCCATGGTGTATGCTGCTAATAGTATCTCGGAAAGAAGAGAGCTATGGGATGCAATTAGATTGCACAACAGGTTTGTTATATGGAAAGTGATTGGAAACGATGAGTCATTATGGGTAAAATGGATTCATGTATACCGTTTAAAAAGCAGAAATTTCTAGGAAATTGTTGAAGTGTATGATGCTTCTTGATTTTGGAGGAAGACTGTGCAGATCAGAGACAGGTTCAGAGATCATGTCATACATCAATTGGGAGATGGTAGAGATACTTCTTTATGGTTTGACTCCTAGCATCCTATTGGTCTGTTCTGTAACTTAATCTCTAAAAGGGAAATCTATTGTGCTAGGATGGACCTAAATTTGAAGGTTAGGGATGTGGTTATTGATGGTTTGTGGGCTTGGCCTATGGAGATATGGAGCAAATATGGAGAAATTTTGAAATTATATTTGCCTCCTTTAATTGATGGCATCAAGGATAAAGTCAAGTGGAAAAACAAGGATGGGGTTTCATTTGATTTTAGTGTTGCTGCTGTTTGGAGGGATATTCGTGATGAGGAGAATATGGTGAAATGGGCCAATATGATCTGGTTCTCACAGGGTTCCAGGCATGCTTTTATCTTATGGCTTGCCATTAGGAACAGATTGAGAACAAAAGATAGGCTTGGGCAATGGTCTTTAAACATGGATACTCAATGTGTCTTTTGCAAAAAAAGAGACAGAATCTCACAATCACATATGCAAGTATGTACAGGTTATATGGAGCTCTCTGGAATCTATTGGGGGTATTGGTGACCTTAAAAGCATCATTGAGAGTGAAGATATGAATTGGGATAACCTTGTGATGACTGTGAGCAACAAGATTACAAACAATTCAATCTGGAGTATTTTTCAGAGACTTGTTCTGGCAGCTGTGATATATTTCGTTTGGAAGGAACGTAATATTAGAATTCATCATGGGAAAGAAAGGTCTGTTGTTGTGTTAGCAAAACAAATCTTTATGATTGTTAAACTCAGACTAATGGGCTTGAAGATCCAAAACAACTCTCAAATTAGGAGAGCTGCTGTTTTGCGGGGCCTAAAGATGTGTGAAGATGAGTTTGTTGATGCTTACCATTATGATTGACCTGTTAATCACTTTTTGGAATCTGAGGCTGCTGGTGTTTAGGTTTATGTATTGGGATAGGTAGAAGTCCCTAATGTTGCCTATTATGAAATTTATTCCTATTAGCAACTGTGTCAGATTACTTCTTTTTGGTTCGTTCATGGGCAGTCTTCTCCTTTTGCCTTCAAGAAATTCCTTGAGAGAGATTTTTCATGAGAGAATTGTTAGAGTTTGAAACAATGATGCTTATGAGATCCTTTGGGGTGGGTTCTTTTTGGGGGTGCCTTGGGATACACTTGGGTATCTTCGAGGGGAAGGGTCAAAACTATTCTTTGCAGGTTCAGTACTGTTTTGGTTTGTGGGATCTTTGGGGCAAGGTTATGGGATGGTGATATAAGGGGGAGTAGGGTAGAGGAGATAGGAAACTTGTTGATCTTGCCTGGGAGACAAAAGGAGGTCTTTTCGGAGGCATGGTTGGTAAAAGGGGAGTGCAAAATTTTGATGTACAGAGGCTGTTTTGAGCATAGGAGTTTTTTGGTGTACAGGGGATTTATAATCTTATACAGGAGTCATTTAGACCTTTCTTTGGAAAGCAGGTTGAGTGGCTGGTTCCATGTGTACAAGGTGCACAGGGTTGAAAGTTTGATTATTTGTATATTGCAGTAGAGGGGGTGGGAATTCAGTTTTTGTGGTGTCACCAAATCTAATAGAGAATGGTTTTTTGTTTTTCTATTAGATTTGCTTTCTTTTCTTGAGTATTGGAGATGTGGGAGGACCTTTTATGTTAAAAGGATAGTTTATGTTGACACCAGGAGGTTAACTGTTTATAGTTTGAGTCTTGATATGTCCTGGACCCTTCTTGGTTGCTATTCTTATTTTCCTTATTTGAGGCAGTTACCTGTGTTTATGATTTTTTGGAGTTTGGGGTGCTTTTTGGCTTTATTCTGTGTTATGATTCCCCTTGTTTTTATCTGGGCTTGTCCTAATCTTTTTGCCTGGTTTTTCTTTCTCGGTCAATCCCTTGATCCTATTCTTGTTTGGTTATGGTGGTGCTTCTTGATCTGTCCTATTTTCTTTACATGTTCTTTTTTGCTCTCCCCCCCCCCCCTTTTGGTCTTTGGCAACTAGTAGGCGGTTGATCTTTGATCCTGCCATAATGTTTGCCTTTGTCCCTTGTTTCTTGGTACAGCAGCTGTTGATCTATGATCTGGCTTCTTCTGTTACTAGCTTGGGACATCTTTTTCTTCTTGGGATTGAGGTTCTTTTCCTCTTGTTCTACTTTTTTCTTGTTTTCACTCTCTTTTCCAGGGGTTTCCTTTGGATCTTTTGGGATTTTAATGTTAGCTTAAAACATATTCTTTTTGTTTGTGGGCACATGTATGCTGACTTTATAATTATTCTATAGTGTTTAGTTAGTGCTCAAAAGCTGGTTGCTTTGGTGTTGGGTTTGGTTCCAAGATTGGTTTCAATATCCCTAAATTGAACTGCATTCTATCTTTTCTTAGGGGTTATAAGGATGATATAAATGGTGTCCTGTTTCTCAATAACATGGCAGTTGAAGACAGAGAAGATAACTGTTTGATTTTGGATGATCATGGTGTTTGCAGAAGTAGATTCCACGGTTTTGGCCCCTGTGTTGCAAACAATTTTGGTATGGAGTTGGAATCTACTTGGCATATGGGGATTTGGTTTAGATTTATATGTGATCAAATGATGCAGCTAACCAACTATTCCTATGATGTATCTCCAAGGCAAACTCATGTTGCTATTAAATGGAAGTTAAAAGTTTGGCAAAATGATTATTGTAAGAATAATAGCATCTGCATTGAAAACGTTTGTATACATCAATACAATTTGAGAAAAGATGTAGTTTGGTATTCTAATTCTTGGAATCCAAATATAAATGATAGACACTACTGGAGGCTTCTATCTTTATTCTTGTCTGAGTCCCAGCCTAATCCCTCTTGCCACTTGATGCTCTTCCATACAGCTGGTCGTCAATTGCATAAATTGAGGGGTGATGTTAATTGAAGCACCAGGGGATTTCACCTGTGGTTTACCTCTAAAAGTCGATGGCTTTATACAGATTGGGAAGTTTGGACTTGGTGCTTATATTCCAATGGCGGATGTTGCATCGACAAAAGGGGTTAGGAGTGTTCTTGTGTGGAAGCGAAAATTAAGGCTCAAACTCCATATGCTCTTGTTCGCAAAACCAATCGATCAATCCAGGGTTTCGTTTGTTGTAGCCCGATTAATGATGAAAACTAGATGAAACTTGATAAAATCGATCGATGCAAACACCTGAATTTGTTGTTCTTGCGATGGGTTTCGAAAATGGACAGTGTTCAAAGTGGCAAAGTGAAGATGTTCTTGAGTTGGGGTTACCTGGAATCGATTTTAAGTCTTGGGTTCATTGGAAGTGGCGACCTAGATTGGATATGCACGCTTTTGGTTGGTGTTTAGATTGGGCTCCAAACTAAGGCTAAACTTATTATTTGGAAGTTGGGCCTCTTTACCCGGTTGGTGGACTTCTAATGGTAAAAGAAGTTTGGCCATTATGGTTGAAGACTGGGCCATTGTTGCTGTTAAAAAGTTGTTATTTGTTGGGCCTGTTAATTCTTCCTTGAAGCTTAATGATTTGAGTTGGGCTTGGACAAATGGTTGGGCTCTCAAACGTGTTGATGATTGGGATGTTGTTAGGCTTCATCATGATGTCCATCATGATGTCCTAAAGTTCCGGTGCTGGGCTTTCCACTCCTCAAATTTTCTGGATTGTCTTTCCATTTGGGGTAGTAGGTTTTTTATTACTAATTCGGCTTGTAGCAATAGGCCTTTACTTAGCGTTTTTCCAAAACATTTTCTTGGAATGCACTATTTTCTTTTATTCTTCTTCTTGGGGTATGCCCCTCGTAGTTGTATTTCTATCGTTTTTTGAATAAATTTTTCCGGGGTTCCATCCCCTTTACCCCCAAAAAAAAACCCTAAACCCCAACCCCCAACCCCTAACCCCAAACCCTAAACCCTAAAAAATCAGAGGCAATACTGAGAACTAAGTTGTGCTAAACTGCAAACCTCCTATTTTGCTTAAAGATGGTAGACTTGTGATTAATTTCTCTAAGGAGGTTATTGTGGAAGGTACTAAAGCAAATTCACTCCTTTTGATTGGTCATTTTGTGGGAGTTAAAATGCCTTTCTTTGTGGTAAATAACAACCTTAACCGTTTATGGAAGAAATGTGGACTTGTGAATGTTGCTTCTAATTACAATGGTCACTTTTTACTTAAGTTTAATAATGAAGAAGGAATGAAGTTTGTTTTGGAAAATGGGCATGGATGATCAATGGGGTTCCTTTGTTTGTTAAAAAATGGATGCGTGGAATGTCTCTTGGAAAATCGAGGAACTGAAAACTCTTCCCCTCTGAGTCAATCTTTATGGATGTTGATCCGGAGAATGGATATCCATAACAGATTCAGAAGTACCTAACACAGATTCACCATTCTCCGGATCAGCATTCACACTAGATTGAGCAATATCCAATTCCACACGCAGCTTTCTAACATTATCAAAGACATTACCATTCTCAATATTCAGCTTTCTGACACCCATTTTAATATCCTTTAGCTTCGAGACAACAGCAAACATATGGCAGCCCCTAACATGCTTTTTCCACACATTTTCAACCAAAGAAAAGAAATTTGGCAAATTAGACATGTGATTGTTGAATTTGAACGATTTAGCACGAAATTTGGAAGGAGCAAATAGAGAGACAACAACAGAACTATGATCAGATAAACCATACAGTAAAAAGGTAGCAGCATCGAAAGGAAAAGAGCCCAGGAAACTAGCATTACCATGAACACGATCAAGCTTTTTAAACAAACCAACAGCCCGCTCTGCAGCTAACGGTTTCTGAAACCAGATCTCAACCTAGACTGATTAATATCATCAAGTTCAGCATTACAAACATGGTCTCTGAAGTCACACATTCCTTTAGAAATGAAAGAAGACCCACGAGATGAATCATTTGGATTAAGACCCACATTAAAATCACCCATAACAATCTACGCATTATCTTTAACAAACACTTTAAATTTAAGGATGTTGTCCCAAAGAAGCCTTCTTTCACCAACATCATTAGAAGCATAGACAAATGAGCAATGAACCATTCTACCAGAAATTGTACGCAGTAAACGACAATGAATCACCTGATCAGATTGCTCAACACATTCAATTTTAAACTTGGATGAATCCCAACCCACAACAATTCGAGTTCTACCCTTACAAGCAGTATTATTAGAAATCCAACACCAGCTCCCAAAAACATCATCACATACCCTTTAAGTCTTTCTTTACAGACTCTAGTTTCAACCACAACACAAACCTCCAGATCATTTTTTGAGATAAACCGCTTCACTTCTTTGTTTTTAGAGGCTATATTCAAGCCTCTAGTATTACAAATGGCAATTTTAACCATTGGAATTTGTTTTGTGCTTTACCACCCTATCCCCACCATTCCTCCAATCATCTTTGTCACATTTCATAAAATCAAGAGCATCAACTTTTTGGTAGACATCTTCACCATGTTGGACAGCCTTATAATAATCCACTTACTCTCTTGACCATTTAAAAAAAAAAACCTCTTTTGGAGGATTGGTTCCTTTTTCAATATAGATCATCTTCAATTTGGCCATCCTCCACCATAGGTTCAGAATCCAAAATTTCTTTCTTGGCATCATTTATTTTCTCATCATGGAATTCATTGCTTTTTACATTTACCTTGCAATCAACCATACAATCTGTTGAGTCTCCTTTCACAGTCCCACTTTGTTGCCCAATCTCTTTTAGACCAACACCATCATACCCTTTTTTGACAACAAAACCCCCTTTTCCTTGTACCCCTTTAGCATTCAAATCTAGTTTAGCCTGCCACACTTTATTATCTTTTAGTTTCTGACTTTGAACATTTTGAAGGTGCTTACCATCCCTCTGTTGCTGCCCCTGGACATTTAGAGTCTGCCTACCATCCTTGTATTGTTTCCCCTGGCCACCTTGGTTCTGTTTAACACTCTTAGACTGCTGCCCCTGGCCATTCTGAGACTGTTTACCGTTAAAATGTTGTTGCCCCTCCCCATTCAGAGATTGTTTAACATTAAAATGTTGTTGCCCTTGACCACATTCTGTCTTTAAGGCCCAAATGATTAACCCAATTTTTGGTGCTAAGCTGCTGGTTGATCCCTCGTTTGCTTTGAGGTTGAACAGGTTTATTTCGCGTGCCTACAACCTGGAATCCATCATCACCATTAACAACAAATTTGTTGGACATTTCATTTTTTACTTTGACAACCTTTTCCTCATCCGATAAGGGTCTAACTCCACATTCATTAAACACATGACCAAAGATACTACAATGATTGCACCTCGAGGGCTTCCAATTATACTCAACCTTTATTATAACCTCTTTCTCCATTGATCCATCAAGTGAATGGACAAGACCAATAACAAAATCTGGTAAGTTTTTATCAGCAGAAACTTCAACTAATACTCTGGCAAAACCAGCTCTACCTGAATGAGTTAAACACCTCTCTTCTGTAGCAGGATCCAGAGTTAGGGGAACCCAATACCACTGCCAGTTCACTCAGCCCTTGAACATTCCATACCTCAAGAGGGACACCATAAAGATTAACCCAAAGGGGAAGAGTTTTCAGTTCCTCGATTTTCCAAGAAACATTCCAGGCATCCATTTTTTAACAAACGAAGGAAACCCATTGATCATCCATGGCCCATTCTCCAACACATACTTCATTCCTTCTTCATTAGTAAACTCAAGTAAAAAGTGACCATTGTAATTAGGAGCAACATTCACAAGTCCACATTTCTTCCATAAACGATTAAGGTTGTTATTGACAACAAAGTATGGCATTTTAACTCCCACAGAATGACCAATCAAAAGGAGTGAATTTGCTTTAGTACTGTAACATCCATCCTCTTAATACGCTTAATTATGTGTTGAAAACATCTACTTTTCGGGTATGGTTTTGAGCATTGGGTTTTACCAATGGAATCTTTTTATTGGAGCTTGTAGGTTATCTCGTTTCGGAAGCATAGGCGAAAACCTTATCGAAAACGGAGTCCCGAGCAAAAAGTTATGCAATTTTTTTTAGTGTTTAGTAGTAAAAAAAAAATTTACCAAATTGGGTCAACCCGACCCAACTCGGGTTTAAGATGTGAAAACCCCCAAAACAGCCCCATTTTACCCATTTTCAACCCCTTTCTCTCTCAAAATTAGTCTTGGTGTTCTAAGGTGCGATTACACACACTTGGGAGTTAATTTATCCCCAAATCAAGTGTTTTATCAAGATTTTTGAAGGATTTGTGGAGAAATCAACGGTAAAACTCATCTCCTATCTTGATTTCGATGTTGGGCATAATTGGTTAGTTTTCAGTCCATGCATGTGATGATTTAGTAATGAAATCATGAAAATATGTTAAGTTTAAGTGTTATTATGTGTTAGTATGTGAAATCCATGGATGGATTGGGAGATTTCTTGAAAAGTATGATGTTAGCTCAAGAACAAGTGTTGACTTTTAGGAGTCAATTTGAGATACAATGAGATTAGTAGAAATTGATGTTATAAGCATGGTTTATCATTGGTTTATTGTGGAATTTGGTAAAAATAAGTGAAACTATGAATTTGGAACTTATTGGGCTAGCATTGACAACGTTTTGGATGGAAATGGGTGTATTGAGCATTTGATAAGATGATTACAGCCCTGTTTTTTGGAAAATCATAGAAAATCATAGAAAATTCAAAAAACTATGAATAAATAGGCCCTAGAAAGGCAAGAGAAAGGGCTGCAACATGTCTTTAGATCTTAATAGGTGATTTTGGGTTTTAAAGGGGTAAAACAGCTCTGCAAGTTGAGTATTTATATTGAAATCCACTTGGTTTGACATTCGGTTTAATTCAACCGAATTCTATTGTGAGTTTACTTGGATATATGCCTATTATGTGCTCTATAGGTGTAGGTGTTACCCATATTGTAATCATAATTGTTGTTTCATGGTTACTTTTATTTTATGCTTGTATCACTCCTTATATAGACAATATTTACATGATAATTGAATGTCACACCAAAGAGGCCTCTGCCATACCAAAGAGGCTCTGCCACACCAAAGAGGCCTCTGCCATACCAAAGAGGCCTCTGCCATACCAAAGAGGCCTCTGCCACACCAAAGAGGCCTCTGCCACACCAAAGAGGCCTCTGGTCATTCAGACTTAGTCATTTTAGCGCAACATCTTCAGATCTTTCATCCTTGTTCCGATAGCTTGATAAAACTTTTAGAATAATTAGAATCAATTTTTGGACCTAACATTGTCAATGTGTTGGGCGCCGATTGTTGGACACCTTTGGATCCGGGTGAGACAACCGGAGGGGCTGTCCCTACTCATCTGTCCGGGGATGGAGGACGGTTATTGCAGGAAGATGAGTAGAGGGTTTGCACACCATCCGAGAGTGGACGGATACGGATTGGTCGGTCAAACCTAACAATTGTCGGTTGATTTAATTTAAATTGTTGGTTAAGGTATTAATTGTGCATCGCGTGATTTTGATTATTGAAGTGTTTACGTTATGAATTCATCTGATTGTCCTTGCTGTTTCCTTGAAATTTTATATGTCGTTAACTCAAACTTTTGATGAATATTGCCTCATTTACTTCTAGATTTTTTTTTATAAATGTACTTACATGAGTCMTGATGTGCATGATATCCATTTAAACTCACTAAACTTTGTTAGCTTATTCTTTTAGTGGTAAATCTTTCAGGAAAAGAAGCTAAGAGAAAAGAGAAAGTTATAGATCGCTAATAGTTCGTGTTGGAATCAAGGACCGTCATATTTTGGTTTACGGTAGTCTATGCTTTTGAATAGAAATTTTCACTCTTTCAGGGTTGATGTTTTTTTTTTGACAAATACTTTCGGCCCTTTTGATGTAAAAGTTGATCTAAAACTTATTTTTTGATGGTATATATACATGTATCCCGTATTTCGTTGAGGTTGAACTTGAAATTTAGCTTTAGATCTATTCATTAAATGTGGTTCGGTAACTGGTGGGTTACAAGTACCTTCCACAGTAACCTCCTTAGAAAATTTAATCACAAGTCTACCATCTTTAAGCAAAACAGGAGGTTTGTAGTTTAGCACAACTTTGTTCTCAGTATTGCCTCTGATTTTATCAGCTAATGTAACACCCTTGGAATTCCACACATTAACAGATTGACCAGCCAAACTGGACTTGATATTACCATTCACATTTCCAAAACTGCTCATCACATTGGAATTAACAACACCAGCAGCAATAGCAGAATTTGACACATTCCCACATTTTCCAAAAAAAAAAAATTAAAATCGACTCCAATTGCTTCTTGTATCTCTACCATCCCCCTTGGAATCATTTTGATCAGAAGAAGCGCCAGAGAGAAACCAAGGCTCCCAAAGGGAAAGAAAGGAAGAAAAAAGGGAGAGAAAAGATAAGGTTACCAACCATTAGGAAAGGTTCTAGGCAAGCCGAGCCCGAGTAACATTAAGACTAGTCTAATGTTACGAACAAACACAGTATTGGTGCGTATCGTTGTTCTCATTTTTGGAATAAAATAAGAAACTCCTTTAATGAACAAGTCTATATTACACGATTCGGTCAATGATTTACATTCATTGCTAGTTTATAATTATTTGTTTCAACGCTATTTTGTACGTTTAGTTAGTGTCTTAGTCCACCCCACCTCACCCCTCCGCTCCTCTCCCCTCCCCTCCCCTCTTCTCTTACATAAAGCATTAAAGTTAATCATCTTTCACTGTCAATCTCTGTAGATTCGACCCTGCTTGCCACTATTACAATTTACGTTGTAATTTGAGGTAAATAGAATTCTATTATTTGTCATGCTCAACTCCCGCCACCATGTTGAAACACACTTCGAAAGAAAGGGAAGAACTTAGGATTTTAAACAAAATGAACATGAACAAACATAAACAAACCCATTTTCTTCACAAACAAACATGAACACAAAAATCAGTTCGTGTATAGTATGTTTTTGCTCGTTTGGTCGGCTAAGTTAAACAAACATGAACAAGACTCCGTATATGTTTGTTCGATTTGTTTACTTCCCTGTCATAAACACTGAAAATTTAATAATTAAAAGTTCTAAAACTAATTTCCCAACAATATATTTGATATAAATAGTAAAAATTTAGCAATAGTAATTATCTTTTTAGAAATAAAAAACCCAAAGTTTCTTTGGACCGAGATTTCCCCTCTAATAAAATGGTAATGGTTAACTCAGCAAGGAGGAGTTATATTAAGGTAAAGTTTAAGGCTTCATCTGTTGGGAGAAAAACTGATAGGAAGTCTGCCACTAGTTGCTTCATATGCCATAAAGATATAGACGAGCCTGCCACCTTTCACATGCATCTTGCTTCCAAGTACAGCAAGTTGAAAAAAGAGAATCAATATTATAAAGTAATGAACCCCTTGATTCAATTACTCCCTACTGGTTTTGTTTGTATATATATATGTGCAGCCGATGGGGTCACAGAAAGACTGGAGCCATGACCAGCGTTATTGTTGCAAGCATCTTGATAAGGACATGAAGCGAAGGGCCAGCTGTGTCTTTGAATGGGTCACCTACGCTGTAATATTAGAAGAAACATATGAGGGTAAGCAAACAAAATGGATTAGACAAAATCAACACATAAGTTGGTTGCTCCTTACGTGTCACCAGTAATTGCTGCTTTGTGGCTGTCACTTCCTTTGCCTCCAAGTGCCCCTGTCTCAATATATTTCTTAGCATTATCCCAGGCACCACCAGCAGTGTTGAGGAAAAGAGCCATGAGAATACCAGAAACCGTAGCAAACATCAACATGGCAGCCACAACTTTAGCCCCAAGTAAAGGATGCCCTGTATAGTAACCCAAAATCCGAAAGAGAATGCCTGTTTCCAAGTGCAACATCAAATTTAATAAGTACTAACAAAAACTAAAAGCAGTATTCAAGACTAATCCAAAAATAAGAAATTACAGAATAATGAGCAGACAGCTGTAGTAGCACAGGCAACTCGAGAGGTAATCTCTTATCTTGCAGTGACAAAACACACTGACAGGAACCCCCAATGCTAAACTGGAGTGAAACTACAAAGAGAAGAAATAGACTTCCAATACAACATGCTTGATCAAGTCAGCTCTCATACTTTGTTAAGTAACATGAGCCTGAAAAGACCATCTGAATCCTATCCATAACATGAGCTTGAAAAGACCATCTGAATCCTAATTCCAAGAACCTTAGCTTAAATAACCCAATCTAGCTCTTTCATAGTGAGCAGTTGAAAGATGCTAGAGCATACCAATAAATATAGGTGATATAACAGCCAAGGCTCCAGGCTTTATCATCTCCTTCAGAGATGCAGAGGCAACAATTGCGACACATCTCCCATAATCTGGTTTGTCCTTGTAGTCCTATGTCAAACATATAGAAATAAAAGAAAATCATCATAGACAGCAGTCACAAGGATAATTTTACAACTGCGTAAAGGAAACTGTTTCAGCATCTCTATAATCTACTTTAAAAAGGCAAGAATGAATTATCTTTTTTAAACATCAAATGGTTTAACTTTTCAATAAGAAAAAATAGGTATCAATGCTAATCCAATGGGTGTGATGTTGGATTCAAATCAGATTTCTGGTGAATGGAGAATGGTGATAATTTAGGATTCAAAGAAAATCAACAATAAATTCCTGGGAGAAAGCCTTCCCATATCGAGGATGGGACCTACCATGATGCCCGGCCTCTCAATAAACTGTCTTCTTACTTCATTAACAACCTCCTGGGCAGTCCGACCAACTGCAGCACAGGCCCACGCACTGAAAAGGAAGATAAGCATAGAGCCCAACAATCCACCCACAAATACTTCTGGAATAGCGATGTCAACCTGTACCGCAATCAAAAGCTTAAATATTAGATACATAATTCCACAGCACAAGATTCAAGCCAATGACAAAACAAATAAGACTTGCTTACCTGTGTAAATGGGGAATGAGCAAATGCCGCTACCTCATCCATATACGCACTGAACAAAAGAAAAGATGCAAGGGCAGCTGATCCAATGGCAAACCCCTTGGTGGTTGCTTTTGTGGTGTTCCCAGCTGCATCCAGAACATCAGTGATCTCTCGAACGCTTTCAGGCTGCAAATGACAATAATCAAGTAAAACCCCAGACACTATGACTCGAGCATTAAAAATAACTATTAGGATGGCCCATTTGTTTTCCAGAGAATGCTGCTTTACCTGCCGACTCATCTCAACAATTCCACCAGCATTATCTGCTATTGGGCCAAACATATCCATAGTGAGAACATAGGCTGCAGTACTAAGCATACCCATTGTTGCTACTGCTGTCCCGAACAATCCACCAGTTGGATTTCCGTCTCCATCAACCAACCCTGAGGTCTGGCCCAACCAAAAAGCCGAAATAATAGATACACTTATCACAAGGACAGGAAGAGCAGTAGATTCTAAACCCAAGCTAATGCCCGCAATTATGTTAGTCCCATGGCCTGTTGAACTGGAAAGAGCTAATTTGCGTACAGGCTCATGTTTATAGTCAGTGTAATACTGAGTAATCCAGACAAAACTGTAAGCTGTCATGATTCCAACCAAACCGCATAGTGCAAAATTCAACCAAGCAGAAGGAGCTTGTTCTGTGTACAGCATCCAACGTGTGGACTGCATATGCAACAAACAATTAGGCCTACTTCACTAACTATAGCAAGAAAAAATAAAACAGAGCTCATTTTTGTCCCGTGAGCACACAAGCAGGGTAGGGAAACAGGGGATGGGGGTTGATTTTATCAAAGCTGTAGAATATATATGAACATACTAGTTGTAATTTACTCTAACCAAGCAGTGTTTATTTCCTTAAAGTTCACATGGAAATATTACCAAACCAAAAGTCACAACCGCTAAAATTATTGTGATAGAATATCCTTTCTGAAGTATCGTCATAGGATCCTCCATAACACTGATCACTCCAGGATCACGTGTTCCACGTATTGAAAATATTCCCACCGACGATACTATGAGATCAAATGAATGAATAACAAGGGGAAATAGGATGAAGCCAGATGGATCTGCATGTGATAATGGAAATGAAGATTAATAGACAGATGAGCAATCTACAACATAAAATTCTTAAGAATGTAAGAGAAGATACGTCTGATAGATACTGACAACCACATAAGTTGTCTTATAACGAACTATACATAACCAACAGGAGCGGTATCGGATTAGCTGAATTCTTTCAGTATCTAACTGCAATTTAGATAAATTAAATTTTAATTCCTAGCATGAACTTTATAAAAAAAATTCTAATGATTTGACATGCTTAATCCAGCTACAATTTACTGTGCATTTGATTAGCTAATGTGTGTCAACCTTCAGTAACCTTAGAATGCAATCCAGTCGATTAACAAATGCACAGAGTTGATCATTCTGTCAAATGGAATGTGAATGACAAGAAGCATGTCTAAAAAAAACCATGGAGCACCAAAGAAGAGGACAATAAACCGATAAAAGGACAAGGATCTGCAGATAAGTCCTCTTAAACTAGCTTCTAATTATAAAGTTTTAGTGAAAGCAACTACAATTAGAGATAACCAAATAGTTACCTTCAATTTTGCAGCGCTGAGCCATGCTTCCTCCAAGTATCATAGCACTAATTATCTCTGCAGCTATGCTCTCAAACAGATCAGCTCCTCGAGCTGCACAATCACCCACATTATCTCCAACCTTGTATGACAAAGATCAAGAAATTAGTTCAATCTACTACATCAATAAATTCATCATGTTAAGAGAAAGGATAAGCATATCACAAACTAGACAAAGAAAATCAGATACAAATAATATAAGAAACTGAATGCATATAGTAATTACTGCACTTAAGGTCAGAGCTATTCCAGGATATACTAGTATAAAAGACATAGGTCAAACAAGAAACAGTGAGCAGATTTATCGAGTCGAGACAAACATTATGAAGGAATGTTAAACTCATACCAGGATAGGTCAAGGCACTCCAAAGAAACAGTCGAACCTCCTCTTACCATGACAAACTAAACTACACCTTTTATAAAAGTCTTCCAGTCATACGTCAGACACATACATTTGAAAACTAGCAGATAAAATGGAAAAGCAACACTTTGAAGGTCACAACATGATTAACAACACATTATAGTGAAGGTGGAAAGTTAACTATGTAGATTCCAGCAAAGAAAGCAGTGAAAACAAGTCAAATGAGTCTGTCAGCCTATCAAACTAAAAACTTCAATAAATTAAAGAAAATTAGAAGTACGGTGCTTGGCAGAACCGAATCATTCCATATATTCTCAAACAAAATGTGCATGAAAAAACACTTTCTGATCTCAACAGAAGTTCCTGGATGTTATTTAATCATTTCCTTTGGTATGTTATTCAATGCTGCTTTAGGTTGCTTCTGTAACTAACCTGCATGTGCACTCATATGTTATCAAATAGATTGTATGCAAGAAAAATGTCCCATTCAAACACCTTTCCTAAGAGTATACATAAACCATAACTAGGATACAGTTCAACCACCTTGTTTGTTTTACCATCATATCCCTTAGATACTAGTTTGAAGAAGAAAAAGATGACCAACTAGAATGACTGTCTGGTATTACAGATTATCAGTTCAACAATCTCATGTCTCATAGGGACTCCTCCAACATCAAACTGACTATAACAACAAAAAACTAAGAGGATACCAGATCAGCAATGACAGCAGGATTCCGAGGATCATCTTCAGGTATTCCCTGTTCTACTTTTCCGACAAGATCGGCACCAACATCAGCAGCTTTTGTGTATATTCCACCACCCAATTGAGCAAAAAGGGCTACGAATGAAGCTCCAAAACCATAGCCCACAAGAAGAAGAGGCACTGAAGATACATAATGTATACATCAAGAAACATATTACTATTGGATCTTAGTTCTACATTATATGAGAAGAATGATAACCTAGCATATGCATAACAAATACACACAGAACATAGATTAACATAGTTTCTAGAAAATAAAGTAATGAACATATCCATAAATTCCGCTCAAGCGCTGAGAGTGAGATTGAACAGACGTACTTTTTTAAAAGCATGATCCTGCCAAACCCATCTCACCCAAAAAAGAACTTGTTAACTTGCCAAACTTACCCCAGATAAGCTGAACAAGACAGGTATTTTTCTGAATTTTTACACATCATGCTCCTATTTCAGAAAAAGACCTACTAGTGCCACAAATATGGAAATTCAGGTTTAAACGCTTAGAAGTGTATGACTGCCACCTTAATTAGGTAATGCCATAACGATTTACGATTGCTTCAGAGCAATTAGATGGCCATTTGGATTGTTTGGCAACCATAAGCTTGATTATTTTTTTTAGCTTATTGCAAAAGCCCCGTTAATAGGGCCATAAGCTAGCTTATTGAAACGCTACTTGGAGTAGCATTTCAATAAGTTCCAGGTGCTTTTTGCCACTTTCTTCCAATTATATCCCTTATTAACATTAATTGTTATTAATTACTATAAATTATCAATAAATACTCCCTCTGTCCCAAATCAAATGTCCGCATTTCTATTTTAGTTTGTCCCAATATAAATGTCTATTTTAGAAGTTATTGAGAAATTAGAGAAAGCTATGTAGAGAGAATATTAGGAAGAACCAGAAAATTGAAGGAATCTTATTTACAATATTGGGATTATCTTCACAAATGAGGATAACCCAACTATTTATACGTAACAGTCAGATATACAAACAGAAAAAACAAAAACTAACTTCTTCAATTAAAGCCACAACTAACAAATCCCCACCTTGGCTTTAATTCTAGTACAGAAAAATTTTACTTCCAGCTATCAATGTTAGGAGATCTAAACAATGCCTAAACATATTCAAAGAAACAGGTTTCGTCATTGCATCAGCTGGATTGTCATCAGTCTTCACTTTCTTCACTTTAATTCTCCTCTCCGAATGTATAAAGTGATAACGAACATCTATATGTTTCGTTCTTTCATGATGCACCTGGTCTTTTGCAAGACAAAGAGCACTCAAGCTGTCACAAAAAACTACATTCTGATCTTGATGAAACCCAAGATCTCCAAGCAAACCTTTCAGCCAAATCCCTTCTTTTGCAGCCCTCCGTAAGAGACATATATTCAGCCTCTGTTGTAGACAAAGCAACAGACAGTTATAACGTCGCTTTCCAGCTCACTAAGGCATCTCCAAAAGTGAAGACATATCCCGTTAATGACCTCCGCGTGTCAAGGTCAGCTACGTAATCAGAATATGAAAATCCAGCCACAATACAATCTCCTCCATAAATGAGACCTACATCACTTGTGCCTTGAAAAATACGTTTCACGGGAACCCAATGTTCTTTCCCTAGATTAGCCATGTAGTGTGAAACAACACTAACAAGCTATGTTAGGTCTAGTGCACACCATGACATACATAAGACTTGCTACAGCATTAGAATAAAGAACTTTGCTCATGTACTCCACCTGAGCCTTTGTTTGAGGTATCAAAGCCACTGATAATTTGAAATTGGTCAATGAAGGTGTGCTCACAGGCTTTGCAGAAGCCATACCAAATCAAGAAAGTACCTTCAAAATGTAACTTTTCTGGGACAAGAAAAGTTTATGTCTAGATCTATCTCGGATAATCTCCATACCGAGAATCTTTCGAGCAGCCCTCAAATCTTTCATGTCAAACTCGAAATTAAGGAATCTTTTAACTTCTTATTTCAGTCATACCACGAGCCGCTACTAACATATCGTCCACATAAAGTAGCAGATACACATGTGACCCATCAGCGCCTTTCTTATGATAAGGGCTTTTAGTAAAACCATGACTCACCATAAAGTTGTCAAACGTTTATACCACTGCCTCAGAGATTGCTTTAACCCATAAAGAAATTTCTTGAGCTTACAAACATAGTTTTCTTTACCTTGAGCTACAAAACCCTCCGGTTGACTCATACAGATTTCCTCTTCAAGCTCACCATGTAAGAAAGCCATTTTGACGTCCAATTGTTCCAACTCCAAATTTGCTTGTGCTACTAGTGCCAACAACACCGAATAAATGTATGACGCACCACCGGTGAGAAATTTCATTATAATCAACCTCTTGCTCTTGGCTATAACCTCTAGCCACCAACCGTGCTTTGTCTCTCACACTTTCAACTCCTGGCAGCCCCGTTTTCCGCTTAAAGATCCACTTACAGGTCACAACTTTTCTGCCTTGAGATAACTTCACTAATTCCCAAGTTCTATTCTTGTGAAGGAATTCCATCTCTTCACTCATGGTTGTTATCCACACATCAGCCTCCTTCGTTGTGATTGCTTCTTTGTAAGTAGATGACTCAAAGAACCCCATTTCTTTAGCAACTTGCAGAGCATAGGCCACCATGTCATCAAAACCATATTGAATTGGCCTACCAACTTGTCTTCGGGGCTTATTTAATGCTATAGATTGAAACTCTGCAGGCTGGTGCTGATTTTCAAGCACGACAGATTCTGGTTGAGGCGAGTTATTGTGCTGTCCAGCAGTATTCTCGCCTTCATCAAGACCATTTAACTCGTACTCCACCTGTTCGGACACACTCTCCTCTTGAACACTTGGAGTAGATGAACACCTCACCCCACGTAACATACTCTCCTCATCAAACACTACGTTACGGCTGAGAATCACCTTTCTTTTATCAAGAGACCAAATTCTGTAGCCCTTTACTCCAATTCCGTATCCCATAAACAGCCCCTTCTTAGATCTTGGTTCCAATTTTCCTTGACTAACATGGTAGTATGAAGGACAACCAAATATTCTTAAGCCCGTGTAATCAACCGGCTTAATGGACCACACCTCAATAGAAGTTTTACAATCACTTGCCGTTGTCGGGGATCTATTCACCAAATAGCAAACCGTGTTAATGCTTCTGCCCAGAAACTTCTATTCAACCCTGCATTTGACATAACACATCTCACTCTCCTTTGTTTTCCAAAGATACAATGCTCACAAAAGCCCAATTCAGCAACTCTATGACCTCCAAGAAGTCCTTTCTTGCTGAGAATTACCAAGCCTTTCTTACTAACATGCCCTAGCCTCATGTGCCACAGACGTGTCAAATCTGACTCATTCTCTACAGAATTAAGGGTCGGTGTTGCTGATCCCTTGGTTTTAAAAAGCGCGATGCAGTAAGGGTCCCGGAAGCCGATGCGTGATGCGTGATGCTGATGCGCTCGCATCACGCACGTGATGCGCCCGGTATTCAAAAAATATTTATAAATTAATTCTACATATCAATTTTTACCTTAAAAATACTTGGGGGCTGTTTGGCAGTTGCTGAATGATTTAGTTCAGAATAGTTAAGAGGTTAGAATGGCGAAGAGGATCAGAATGGTTAAGTGCTGAATGAAACAAGGTTGTTTGGTAATTGTTCTCTGAATGATAGCAAATTACCATTTTAACCCTAGTTATGATTTAGTACTGAACAAACCAACATACAATTACCAAAGATGATGTTTCTTCATATCAGTATCAAATCCTCAAGAAATTGCAAAATGTCGATAATCCAATCATCATTAACATTGTTACAAACATGAAATAAGCAATAAACAACATCAATTTCTAAAGAAAAATGATAAATTCCCTAAACCAAACCCTAGATTTATGCAAGATCAACGACCTGCTGGAAGAGGCGGAGACGGCGACGGCGACGACCTGCTGGAAGAGGCGGCGACGAGCGACGAGCGACGAGGCGGCGAGGCGGCAAGCGACGAGCGACGAGGCGGAGACGGCGACGACGAGCGACGAGGCGGCGAGCGACGAGGCGGCGACGAGCGACGACCTGCTGGAAGAGGCGGCGACGAGTGACGACCTGCTGGAAGAGGCGG